GGCTGGATTTATAGTGTTGGTATAAAAATAAAACTGGCTGTAGTTTAGAGCTGTCACAGGCACAGAGACAGAAACTAGAGCATATTTGACATCACCCTTCTACAAATAGAAAAGGCAGAGCCAAGTCTCAGGTAATACCTCTTATTTAGCTAAGTGGGTATCAATGACAAACCAGTTTATGGGATAAAAATGGGTTTGGGTCAGAGGTTTGGGGACACGGTGACAGAGCAAAACAAATGGTTATTTTGATACTTCCAGCCATTACTCTAGCAAGTCTTTATATTTTTGTACCAACAAACTTCGTACACAGCAAATGAGTATAGAAGAATTCTTGGCTCATGCAGTGACTGAGACACACAACGTAAAACCCTCCATGAAGAATTCAAGAAATGTACACACACAGTGTCAGGCTTCTGTGAAATATTTCAAGTTTAAAAGCTAAAGGTAACCTTGTTTTCAACTACATGAAGTCTTACTTCAGTTTTCATCTGTATAAAATAGATCTCAATATCCGGGTCTATCCAAGTGATACATTGCAAAGAATGAATGTCATCTCCTACCCTTTTGAGTTTGAGGGGAGACAACAGGGAATTTTTTGAAGTGTTGAACCAAAGCTGTAGTTATTTTTGAGGTCAGTTCAGTGCTGACCTTTGCACTATAATATGCTTTACGAGGCTTTATAGAGACTTTTCTGAATGCAGTATTCACCCTGAACTTGTATAGCAAAATTAATGCATTTATTCTGATAATACAGAATACCCCGTCATCTTACAGGTATGCTGCTATTGCTTAATTTTAACTGTCCTTTATATTTTGTTTGTGTATTACACTTTAAATCACTCTTTGTTTTGACTAAAGTTCTGTTTTATACTGAAGGCCTTATGTCTGGTGACTTCATTTCCATTTACTTATATGTTATTTTGTACTTCAGAAGAATTTGAAAAATCAGTAGCATTTTAAGGTAGTTGAGAGGATACCTGTTGCAACGTATGCCAATTTTTTTGAGTGCACAAAGGACTAGAATTTCTATTTTGTGACCAAAGTTAAGACTTTTCTTTTATAAAGGGCAGGGACCCTCCTCTGCTATTGGTGTCTATCCAAGTCTTCTTTATAGAAGATGGCTAAAAACCAGGCTTGTTTTTACCTAAGAGAAGAAAAGAAAAACAACAACTCCTAAAATGGAGATTTAGGTTCCTAACTTGGAGAGAACCGGTCACAGAGAGGACAGTATTTCTTAAGACAGTGCACCTTACAATGTATAGAACTTTCTGGTGATAAATGTTGGGTTTATTTGCAGCGCTATTACAGTAAGCAGGATCTGGTGTAGCTGAAGTAAGGCTAACCACAGGGTTTGAGATGGGTACTAAGTGACAGATTGTTTAAAAACAAGAGATATTTTAAAGACTGTCTATGGTAGCATAAAGGCTTATTACACATATACAAGTATCTATGTGTAATATACAAGTTACGTGTATGTATGTGTAGTATTAAGTATAACTATGATAAGTAATCTATGTTGGTTCCTGTAGTATCCAAAAAAAAACCCCAAACAAAACCCCCCCAAAAAACAGTAACAACCAAAACAAAAAAGCCACCCAGAATTTTGTTTCTAGCTAGACAAGGGTGAAGGAAGAAGAGAGGAACGACGCATCATGTGCATATTTTTGTATAGAAATTGGTCAAAATTTTTAAGGGGTGATGAAGAGGTAGTATTGCTCTGCTATGAAATTTCACTTTAATTTAGCATCTCCCCAAGGTACATATTCAGTAGATATGGCTTCATGATATCTAGAAGAAGGATTTAGTACAGGAAATGTTTTCAAGTCAGAACTTCTTAACAGCATTAAACATCAGCATCCCAATCTTATGAATGATAAATGAAATGTTAAATTGGACAATTCTGATTACTGAACAAAGTGCAGTGAAAAATTTGTTACAGAAAATGGTCTCAAGTTTCGTGTGCTTCCTCTTTTGAAAGCAGAATGTTTCAAGTTCTGCTTCTGAAATGTACAATTACTACAGAAATAGAAATAGGTAAATACAGATGCAATTGTTATGAGAAAGGTATGAGAAAGGTGGGCAAAAAATCAAGTTAAATTTAGTTCTAAACTAGGCCAGAACATGCAGTCCTTTCTTGTTTGATAAAAGTGAGCAAACTTGAATAGCAGCAAGCTTGAAAAGTTAGTGTACATAGAGGGAGATGTGAATGTGAAAATGTAATGTGAAAACATAAGTAATGACAAGTATTGTGCCTTTTGTTTTAGCTAAAAATGATAATAATTAAAAACGCTGGGTTTAGCGATGCAAGTTGCCCTTAGTTTCAATGGCATACACACTTCAGTAAGTGAATCAACATAAAAACTGCCTATCTCTCTTCCCTATTCCTCAAGGGAATTTGCTGTTCTCATTCAAAAATATCTCGTCTGTCTCACAGGTTGATTAAAATTAACTTTTTTTGGAATGTAAAAATAGCAAAGCAAATAATACTGTCTGGAATTAAATCAAGTAATCTCGATCAAACAATTAACTCATCCTCTATTAAATCAATATTTGCTGATGCTATACTGGAGCTATTTCCAGTAGTTGGAATTACAGCCACTGATTTAGTGTCTTTATTATTAGTACTTAGACTGCTGTCTTTGCCCACTATGACTTCTCAAAGCTAGTACTTGGCTGACTTGTAGAAGGTGGCTAGACGGTACCTACAGTAGGCGTTCTACATGCTGTTAAAGCCTTTTTACAGGGCTGAAGGCCCTCTCTGTAAGTGTGATTCCATGAGGATTGAAAGGAGTTTAGGTGGATGTTGCCACAGCCCAACTTAGATCAACTGTTGCTGGGCCACACCTTAAGGCTATTTTGGCAAAACAATATTTGATGATGTAAACTCTTACAAAAGCAGAAAGAGTTCCCACTGTTGCAATATTAGTATATTCGCTTTGGAATTTTTCTCAAGATATTACTGCAGTGTTGCTTTTGTGGCCGGGTCAGTTCACAAAAGGTTTTTGTCACCCCAGAACCATCCTCAGCAGCACTTCTAGTAGGGCGCTTAACTGTGACAAATTAGGAATTAATTTGCTCTGATGTGCTAGCATGACCATGAATCTCTCTACTAGACTTTTTTTTCATTTGTATAACATACTCTTTGCTTCTTGGATCTGACGTTATTTTGCCTGTTAAGTTTTCCTTAAACAATCTCATGTAGGCTGATGTGATGCTTATTCCTGTTTAGGGAAGGATTTTCTTTGGCACACTCTCAGGTTTGCAGTACCATCTCAGTGTTTGGTTTTGGTCCTGAATTAGCTGATCAAAAATTACTTCCTTATTCTCCAGATCCTGAAGGATGTTTTGATTCAGATCTAGCATTACATAATCCAACATATACCTAATGAACATACGTAACAAAGTGGGAGATGCAACAGCAAAATTGCAGTAACAAGAAATAATGAAGTTTGATAATGGGATTGCAATGTAAAAATTACTATAGGGCACCAGACAAGACTAGCTTAATATTCCCTTCTGACCTTCAAAATTTTTGACATTACTCTTGAATCTATGCTTGTTAGCAAAAAGCATCCTGCTTCCAATTGTGGTCCATTATTAGGATTAAAAGACGGATTATTTTCCCTTTGAAAGATAGGCTGTAAAGAAAATTGCTATAATGTAAATTATGGGACTGTTACTTTTGTCTGTAACCCCCAATCCAGCATCAAGGTGAATGAAGAAAATACTCAAAGGCACACAAGACTATGAGGCTGCTGTGTAATTTGGGAGTTTTACTTTTGATTACTTTTGTATGAAAACCGGTATGCAAAATAATGCCTTTAATTGCATGAAGTGCAGTGATCAGGAGAAAAAACGTTGTGAACCTGAAAGTGCTTTCTTTTTATTTAGATATAATAACTTTTTTCAAAATTACTACTAAGAAGGTTATCTATCATTATTCATCTAATAATGCAGGTGCAGTGGTAATATTAGTAGTGAATAGGAAAGACCACATGACTATAATAGCCAATACAGGCCACTTGCAAAATTATCAGAACCTGGATGATGTTGAGAAAGTCTGTCAAATGCTGATCTAAAAACCAATGATAACAATGTTGTCTTTGCAAACATCTTAACATTGTTTGTTTTGGCTACCTATGATGGGAGGACTTTTTTGAGATAGACAGCTTTCTTCTCTGTCTCTACTGCTGTCTTTATTAGCAGTCATCCAGATCTACAAGGAAACTTATGTGTTTCTGTTACATACTTGAAATTAAGTACTAATACAGGGCTTTTTTAGGATATTCTATATGGATAAGCCCACACAGAATCTTTAAAAATATTTTTAATTCAAATTATTCTTGTAAGAGTTGTTATACATTATAGCTAAGTTCCACATTTCCTAGATACATATTTTTTTTTTCAGTGATTAAGAGCCTTTTTCTATACCATGATGTATTATTTTATAGGGCTGCAGCTTTCGGGGCAAGTGTTATCAATGGTGTAACTTTTTCATATAATGGGACCAGATTAACACAATCACTTGGTTTAATTGCAGATTGGCAAAAGAAAAAGTTATGTATGAAAAAGAAGCAAAACAGCAAGAAGAAAAGATTGAAAAAATGAAAGCTGAAGCATGTGATGATTATGGAATTAAGAAGCAGGTAAACTATCCCAAAACTTGTTTTATTAAGTCCTCCTCTCCAGACTCCTGTTATATAAGTACTAAAGATCCTGTTAATTATAAAAGTCATAATGAGCATTTGTAGAAACTTCCTGTGCTCCAGAACTGTTATAAGGAGGCTGCATATGGATTACTTAGCACTTGGTGTCAGGATGGCTAACTCACTCACAGTGTGTATGAGGCCATCATGAACTCTCTTTCTTAGAAATCCCAAGAACCTGAAAATACATGGTCTAGATGTACTTAGGTAAACTCAGTGCTTGCTGGTAAGTGCAAATGTCACAGTGAAGTGAGAATGCTTGGTAAGGTAATATGAAGAGGAAACATTTCAACTCTCTTGAGTATACTAGTACCCCTTTGGTAAAAGCACAGACCTCAGAGAGAGCAATGGGTATGCAGCTGCTCCTAGCAGCTGCTAGAGTTTGTAGTGAAGTCACTGACTAGTAAGGTGCACGCTGTAGTTTCATGTGCTCAAGAGTACGGTTTAGTGTCACTATGACAATATGATCAAATTTTTCTTGGAAGGTTTCCCACAAAGGACAGTGGCTGCAGACAGTTGGGATGTGCTCTTTTGGAAGGAGGAGTGTCAAGTTTGCTTCTCACTGGGAGAAGGCTTGGGTCTGGGAGATGTGCGTTTATTCTTTACGGAAGTGTGGCATGTTGGTGTTTAACTGTGGCCTTAATATTCTTTCAACAAAGTTAGTTAGCTTTTAACTATGTTTTTTTTTTTCCAGGCATCTCGTAGATGTTTTCTTTTAAATCTTCACTGAAACTGTAAATTAAAATTATTTTCACTCATTTCCATAGTCTGGTGGCTTTGTGTTATAAAGCCTAACCTACTGTTCTCCCGTCTTCATTTTTAAACAATGGAAGAATAGGTTAAACAAAACTTAAATACAAAAATTAATGAAAACAAGATAAGAGAAAGCCCTTTTAGAACAAGCTAAAACAACTTCTTTATTAAGTTCAGATTTCAGTTCATGTGTATAAGTCCTCCCTTGCTTTCATTATGCCGTGGGAAAGAAATACAAATAAAGAATTTTATACAAATAAAGAATTGTATTTATAGACCTGACCTGTCTTCTGCCTCACCATGGACTGAGACTCTAAGATCCTACAAAATAGTAGAATAATAAGAAGAAGCCGGTGCTAACAAGAACTAATGAATGCAATTCCCATTTTTAGTGTCCCCCATTCATCAGATTATTTGCCTGCACCATGGTATTTCCGCAGTGACCTGCAAGATATCATCAAAGTCAAAACCAGCAGAGGCTGTGAACTTCTGCTGTGAAATTAAATGTTACGTGCTACTTGAAGGTATTCTCAGAGACCAATGACAAAAGCCTTCACAGAGAACAATCTTGATTCATTCAGAAATTCCCTGATCAACTTTGAAAGCAGTCAGTTCCTCTGAAGACATCTTCACTTCTTGTTCTTTTATGCACTTTGCATTCTGGAAGTTAGTAATATTCTGGAAGTTAGTAATATTCTGGAAGTTAGTAATATTCTGGGTGATGAAGAATTTGGGAGGCTCAGAAAGAATGTGCACAGTTTTCACAGGATCAAATCTCTTTCTCTAAAGAAAATTATATAATACCAGGACAGTTTGGTCAGAACCATATTTTGGATAGAGTTAATACTCTTGAGGTCTTATTCAGGAAGAATACCTCTAGTTACACATTTTAAGAACTGCTTTTAGTTAATAATTCCTAATCTGAATTAACTGTATTTATTTAAAAATACAGTTGTAGTCTGTTTCGGTAATGAAGAGTAACATTTGGAATGAATTCAATCATTTGAGACTAGGAGAGTAATTTTAACTATTAATTTAGCTGAGGTATCAGCTGAATCAGATATGTATATACAAATCAATCCACAGTTAAGGGAGGGATGCTTAAAAGCATTACTTACCTCTTGATTTACTACTATTCTCATTTAGCTTTCTAATTACAACTCTGCAGTAGACCATATGGTTTAACAGTAAAGAACTGACTATGGCAACTTTTACTTTAAAATTAATAATGCCATTCCTACAGCATATGTAGACTCCAGGGTGTGCCTGGTCTGTAAGGAGGGATCAATCAGTCCCTTTGTAGAACAAGAGTTAGGGTGTGACTCAATGTTTGTCTCCTAAATCCTCATGCAGTGGGGCAGCCTGTGGTTCCTGTGAACTCAGGTAATCTCTAGCTGAGGCAGTGACCAACTGGGGTAGCTGGCAGCTGTTAGATACTAGCCTTCACCTGCACTGCCCAGAATTAGCTAATGGGCAGCAGATTCAGTATCAGAGAATCAAAAAGGACAGTTTTCTCGCAGTGCTGGTATATGCTGGCCAAGATTATAATTTGAAGACCCAGTTGTTAGGGCGCAAGGAGACTGTTATGGTAACCCAGGATGGTTCCCTTCCTCACATCTGAATATGTAGAGTCCCAACCATGTTTTAACCTGTTGTCATAGTAACCCAGGATAATTCGCCTCCCCCTTCATTTGCCCCCACCTTTGCACAGGCCACCAGTGTGATGGTGGATCTTGGAATTCTGACAACAGCACCTGCACTACATCAGCAAGTTCACTAATGGACAGAACAGGCTGTTGCATATGTATGATATGTTAATCAGCACAAGTTTTATTGTCAACCCCTGCAGTGCTTTCCTTTGAGCTTCACCTCCGAGCAGGGCTCCGCTGTGTCAGGTCCCCATTTTGATCAGCACCGGCATCCCAGCGCTCCCACCGTGGCAACACTATGCTTTCAATAAAGCCAAAGCTCTCAGTTGCCGAGTGTGGTGCCTCATCCCTGAGGGATCCACACCCGCTTTTCACCTGTAACACCCGTATATTACCATTGTGCCAGGTGCAGATTGTATTTGCACTACTTGCTGTGTCTCAATACATGTACTTCAGCTGAATCCGAGCTGGGTGAGAACTACTTGTGGTAGGTTGTACATCACAGAGAAAGAATCTCTAGCATGGGGCAAGGAAGCCCTTCCTTTTCCATCATTTACAGCTTATTTTAAAAATCATTCTGCTATCATCTGGTTTTTGTCTATAAAAGGCAGATGAGAAATTCAGAATTTAGGGGAAAGCTTGTAAGAATTCATTTGAGCCAAACTGGCAGTAAAAACTTAATAAATGAAGACCACTATTTGGAGAAAAAAAAAAAAAAGGCTATGAAAGAAGAATTCTTACATCTCAAAATCGCACTGTCTTCAACCATGAGACTTGTAAAAGGGAAAGGGGTTATAAGTACTTTAAAATACTAAATTGAAAAAAATCTTATTAAAAATGGAACAATTTTATACAAAATTACCAGATTTGTAGAAGTTAGGAAAACATATTAGAAGACTTCTGGTGTATTCCACCAGGTGTAAATTCTGCATATAGTTTCTGTAGAGGGTGATCAAGAACGCTGACTGGTAGCAGCAAGTAGTGCAATTGTACCTCTGTGTGGAATTTTTTTGTAATGAAGCCTTATCTTCTACACAGTTGTAATGATTCTCAATATATGAAGACTTTACACAGATCTTCATAATACTTTATCTGTAACAGAATCTTTTCACACTGTAATCACTCAGGAGTGCAAACTAATGATAGGGAAAAGTAGAAAAGTAGTTTTCTATATTTCTGTGGTTGTTGATATCTCTCGTACATAAATAAACATCCTTTCCCAGCTAATGCTTTTATCTTGAGGCTTGTGGGTGTGGGAAAAGCCTGAGGTATCTACTCCTTGTTTCCTCTCAGTGGGATTGTAGATCCATTCCGAAGTTTTTGTTAACTGTCGGCATTTTTACTGATAAATTTTCATTTTTTAAAAAAGTTATCCTGCAGTTTGAAATTACTTCTCAAGTAATGTTTCCAGATGAATTAAAAATCCAATGGATTTAACATAATATCTACATGTCAAAGAGTACGTAAGAGTACATAAAGTACATCTTGCTAATACACAGTTTTTTAGAAATATTAGTGAAAACAGCAGTATTTCCCTTGCTTTGTTGAGTGAAAGGTAGAGTGTCTCCTGAAACAGCTAAAAAGAAATACATTTGGAAACAATGTAAGTTGGTTTGGAAAATTATTGTGGAAGGTGAGAATTTGCCAGTAATCTTTTTACTGGAGGAGTTAACCGCTGAAAGGAACATTGTAATGTTCTGTAACATTTTCATTTTTAAATGCCTGCTTAGCCTCAAAGAAATATTCCTGTTAGCTCAGGAATGGCTTTTTACATTTTTAGCTTTTTCCATCCTCCCCACCCAGTTGGTTCAAACACAGTTTCATTCTTTTCACTAATCAAGTACAGTAAGATTAGATGAAACATACAGTTTCACTTCAGTCTGAGTATTTTAATAATTTTTTTTTCTTCCGTAAGAACAGATGGTTTTTGCTTAATAATCTTCACTCTAGCTCTAGTTGCTTAGGTAAAGAGGCAGTGAAAATGCTAATGAAGAGTCTAATACTCTCCCTTATGTATTTGCACAGTTTTCTCAACAAGCACAGTTTGTTTCCTTAAAAGCTAGCAACTTGGAATTCTCTACACTAAGTACAGAATAATATTCCTGACATACAAAAATACTCTCAAACTTTTGTTTTATTGCCTAACGTGCTATCTGAAAGAGACCAAATGATGAAAAATCATTATTGTGATCTTCGTTTTCCCCTTCTGTTTTCCAAAGGCTGTTTTTGTTTTTATCTAGACAAGTGTAAGTACCTTTTGGATTCCAGACTTTATGCTGAAGATTAAAGGCACTTGTGCAGTATTTGGAATAAGTTAGTATGGCAACATTCCTATGGCAGAAAAGACCTCCCACCATGATGGGACATGATTCATATTGTCTTCAGTTGGGCTCACTCTTCCTGTGCTCCAGAGGGAGGAGAAAAATCTGGACTTGACTTTTCTGCCTTCTGTCTATCTGGGGAATTTCCCATGTCTCTTCTGCTTCCAATTTTAGAACAAATATTTCCCCACGTGTTTCACCTCCACAAAACAGATAG